ATATATATTTATATATTATATAATGCGTGTTCACAGGAATCATTGAAATAGTTGTTCCGCGTGATCTAGTTTAATCTCATATACGTACATCTAATGCGATTGAACGTAGCCTCTCATATTCTCGTAGCAACGGTGATAGTTCGCGACGTATGTCGGATAGTGTGGACTCGAGAGTAGGGAGCGAAGCGCTCGTGTATGTAATGTAGAGTATAAATAGATGCGCAGGAACTCATTAACCGAATAAAAGTCGAATAAAAAACCCATTTATAAGTACATGATAAAGAATTTGAATGCAACAGCCAACTTGGCGAAATGTGTTTCATGATGTCAATTATTTTTGCATTTGAAATTGAATTCGGAGTCAGGTCGGCATCACGCTTGTCGCTGTACGTCTAGAGAATTATCAGCGCACAAAATCAATGGGATTCGCCCAGCGTTGCTACAGACCTGATGTCGTACGCAACTGTTGCCTAGATCGGTTACGTGCCATTATGACGGCCGTAACACAATATTTACCAAGCGTAGCAACGTTAGTCGAATCGCTCGCCCGTATATTGTACTCAATTCACAGGGAATCGCGTAGTGTCAGCTTTTATACTACATGAAGAGCCACTGATTTGCAAAGATGCACACCTGGATTGTATACGTAAGTACATCGTCGATTCTTCGTCGATGTTCTGATTATATTATCATTTTCCCTCAATTTTTAATATTATCAATGTTTAATACATTACTTATGTTATATTACGGGGAAGATGCGACAGCGTAGATGTGTTACTGACGATAATAATCTTGCTGACGTCATTGAGTAAAATTCTAAATTCGTTTAAGGTATCAATACTCGTTCTTCTAGAGCAGTGCTTCAGAAACTATTTCAGTGTCATTCACCCTCGAGTCTTTATCACAAAATTTAATTTCCTTCTTATGTTTTTCACTCATTTGCATTCACCCCGACAACAATTTCATTCACCATTGGGTGAATAATTTACCAGTTTAAGAAGCACTGTTCTAGAGCTCTATCGTGTGCACTACTCACTCAAGGTCTCGTTCATAAATCGCGTGCAGTGACTACGTGAATTAATTCCCCTTTTCGTAGCGCTTATGTGTGTGTGTGTGTGTGTGTGTGTGTGTGTGTGTGCTATAACATATATATATATGTGTTTGTGTGTGTGTGTGTTGTGTTGTGTGTTGTGTGTGTGTGTGTTGTGTGTGTGTGGTGTGTGTGTGTGGCGCGCTGTGTGTGCGTGTGCGTGTGTGTGTGTGTGTGTGTGTGTGTATGTGTGTCTGTATACCGTACCTTCATAATATCTATCTATCTATATCATCTATCTATCTATCTATCTATACTATCTAATCTATCTATCTAATCTCATCTATCTATCTATCTATCTATCTATCTATCCTATCTATCTATCTACTCTATCTATATTTCTTTCATTCTTTCCTCAATCTATGTATTCTATCTATTTACCTCTCTCTCCACACACGTCTTACGTCTCTCTAACTACTCGCGACGCAGACAATGAAGCACACATCAACATCAGCTCAGCATCACCACTACCAGTAGCCACCACATCTTCTCTCAATCGATCTCTCGCTATATAAATATGAAAGGTATCATACACTAATACAGAGCGAGAAGAGAGAGAGAGAGAGACGAGAAAGAAAACAAGAGAGAGAGATATATAGGCCAGACAGGCAGATGGATAGATAGATAAATAGGATAGATAGGATGAGAAAGATAGATCGATAGATAGATAGATAGATAACAGACTAGACAGACAGATCACCCGACTCACCTAGATAGATAGCATAGAAGATAGATAGATAGATAGACTAGATAGATAGATAGGATAGAGTCAGATAAGATGAGAATAGAAGATATACTTGTTATCAAGAGACTAGAGAGTTACTACATAGGATATATATAATAATATCATCGGGATTTTGGGAGCAGGCCTATGTCACATAGTCATATCTCATACTGTATAGCCGTCTAATGTTGAGTGTGAAGTGAGGAGTGCCGTAGGAGGCTGACGATTAGCCGAGCCGATATCGCATACTATAACAGCAATACTCCCTCACATTTCCCTAAACATGAACTGTTCAATGCCGTAACACTCACGAGGCATTTTGACTAAAACGATCCACTGCCTACTGAATGCGGTATAGCTAAATACGTAGGACAGCTCGTCGAATCATCTAGGGTAGGCAGCACTGCCAATGGAGGAATGTGGCACCCATTGCAGTACTCACACATTACACACAGCAGGGACTCACATAAATCACACAAACATTAGTCACATATAGACACTGCATTAACAACTATCAGTCTTCACATCACGTTACATAACGTCGCCAACACTCAAGAAATTAACGAGCGTATGTAGTATTATTGCTTGCGAGTCGACAGTGGCCGTAAAAGATGCAACCACAGTAATTGCGAGAATTAACTATGTTAATATGAACGGAAGGTATCTCTTTTTTTATAGAGTTTGCAGGCAGATTGAATATGGCAAATAAGAGGTCAGCTTATTGCAACCGGTAGTGTTCGGAAAGGCAGAAACAAAAGGGAGCCGAACATATGGTTTTTTGTTACCAGGGAAAGCACGACAATAATATGGAAACGCTACTTATGATCGGCAGTGACTATAGACAAGTAACTCCAGCAAAACGACCCAATTGGAGAAGCCTCAAAAATTTCTATGATTCTCATGATAGCGTCGGCGCGAGCTGTCGTGAAGAGTTAATTGCTAAGAAAAGACCAATTCAGTGTATAACAATAGTTATATGCCTATTTAGCCATGGTTTATAGTTGCAATGCGAATCAACGCAAATCAAACGAAAATGCATAACAACAGTCTAATTTCGTTAGATTTTGTTATTACTTTTGCGGAATTAACGTAAACAATCAAATTATCATGCACGTGCGATAATACTGCGTCGCACGTTTTTAATCCATAAAGTGTATCCCATAAGTTCCCTCTCGCTTACACT